AGGTATCTGGAATATGCGCGTTGTGAAACAAGAACCATGGATTTGGACAGGTATTATTTACATTATTATTGAATTCCTTACGGCCTTTATGAGTAAACATATTATTTATCTATAGAAGAAATTTGAAATATCTCTTCTGTTAAGTCTTCAAACCAGGTCAATTTGTACCATAATTTCAGATATGATGATGCATTCTTATTCGAGTCTTTGGTGTCGTAGATGTTATGTGTATGATTGTAAACTTCATGGTTTGTATAAAATCACTTTTATTAACATTTCGATATTTATATAAAAATATAATGATTAGGAATTTATTTTTATCATTCAGTTTGTGTTTCGACGTGATTTTACAGAATTAGTTTTATGTACGTTTGTATGTTAGGTACCGACTTTAGACCATCTGGAAACAAAAAACGCCCACGTCCTCCTATCAGTAAAACCAAACCGTGTGGATCGAATTGCTATCTTAACTTGAAGGAAGACAATCAAGATTCATATATGACGGACAGTTGGGATGATGTTGAAATTGCGCTATTTGAAAAGGCCGGATATCTTATGGGGATTAAGAATTACTGCAGTGTAGCAACAATAGTAATGACTAAAACTTGTGAACAGGTTTATAAATATTCAAATATTTATAATATATTTTATGTGGTCCATTATTAATTAGATGAATTAAATAGATTTATCGTAGATCTCAATCACTCGGAGAGATTGACAAAGATGATGATCATATCGAAATTGGTTCATCGTCAGATGATGCACGAAAAAAGGGAAAGAAAATGGCAAAAATGGGTAAAATAATCCGACTATTACATTAAGCTTAATTATTGAGAAAAGAAGGCATTATGGATAATTTATTTTATTTGATCATTTCAGAAATTGACGCAGAAAATCACTCAGAATATCACCCATGTGATCACCCTGGAAGACCTTGCGATACGGCATGTCCTTGTAGACAAGGCAACGTACCTTGTGAAAAGTACTGTCATTGTGAGCTAGATTGTAAGCATGTATATAATTATTTCCATATAGTTCCAAAAATAAGCAGTCAAGATTATTATATAATTCAGTCAAAATTAGTATAGTGCGGACTAGAGGTGCCTATTTTTAGAACTATACGGAATTATTATTTATCATTTAAAATTCCTATTTTTGCGAATTGGTTCAAACATAAACCTTATTTTAAGGTCCACGAAGGTTTCCAGGATGCAACTGTTCAGGTTCTGGAAAGTCGTGCAGTAACAGAACATGCGTCTGTTTTGCCAATTATCGTGAATGTGATCCAGATTTATGTGGATGTACGGCCTCAGGTAGCTTATATATTTTATCGAATCTGATTATCTACTGTTTAGTTACAAGGTAAACGATTTTTATATTGTTTAGAGCCGACTACTGCACAATTTATGGGTAGACATGCGTGTAAGAATGTAGCTATACAAAGAGCTTTGACAAAGGTAATTATGACTTGATTTATGCATTAAGAAGCTTGTTTCAAACGTTAATTGTTCTATTTATCATTATACGTTAGCGTACAATTGTTGGAAAGTCAACCGTTGCTGGCTGGGGTCTTTTTGTAAGAGAGCAAGTCAAGAAAAATGAGTATTTGGGAGAGTACATTGGTGAAGTAAGTGAATTTAGTATGAATCCATTTTATTCAATATTGTGTGTCAAACTTTTTTAAATTATCATCAAACATAATTTTTATAGGTGATTTCACAAGCTGAGGCAGATAGACGTGGAAAAATATATGATAAAAGAGGCACTAGCTTTTTATTCAATTTGAATAAAGGTTAGTTTCATTAAATTTATTAAATATAAAACTTTGTTGAAATAATCGAATCATTAATAAATGACATGTTTTGTAGATTTTGTTGTAGACGCAACACGAAAGGGCAATAAATTTAGGTTTATTAATCATTCCAATGATCCAAACGCATTTTGTCGCGGTAAGTTTTCAAAGTTGCAATTGATTACATAATTAATTTGATTCGTTTAATAATCATTTTAATATGATATTAAAAATGAATGTTTAGTTACGTTAGTAAATGGCGAACATCGTATAGGAATCTATGCGATGAGCGATCTCGAACCTGGTCAAGAATTATTTTTCGATTACAGGTATATTGTTATTATATTAATAAAATCCAAATGAATAATGGATAAATGATCCTAAATACGTTTATTAAACAGATATGATGGTGAAGCGTTGAAGTTTGTTCCTCTTGAACGCGAACGTCCGCCGAGTCCGGCAAAATCGAGTCCAGCAAATGGAAAGTAGTTTCAATTTATAACAAATTATGGATATAATGATAAAATTTTAGAGTGATAAGTAAAATTCATTGTCAAATAAATTGATAAATCTGATATCTTTATATTGTCATGTGGTTACACCATATCTTTGTTATATGTGGTGCATATCAACTACAATTCAAAAAATGATACATGATTGGCAGTTACTTCATTAAAGGCCGTGATTTTGAAATATGGCTTTGGTAATTTCTTCTCCGAGTTTCTAACGGCTACCAGTATAAATTTTTATGCTATACGACCTAATGTTTGCCCTTGTATAATCTAAACATATAATAAATATATTTAATAGGTTATTGTTTTGCTTTATTTTATTTTATCCTTTGCCGTAAATTAGTCACATATTTCTTTCCTTCCTTTATTTCTTTCGTTTCCAAAAAGTACATTATAAGGCAGCTCATAAATTTTCTAAACCATAGAATTTGTACAATATATATATATAAATATATAAAATGAGTGGATATTCACGAGTAAGCAGGTCCCTTTAATATATTATTTTAGAGTAGTATCAACCTATTTTTGTGCTAGAGGCTGATCAAGTTTGAAGAATCTTTAAAAGGTGTGGCTAAAAATATTTTGTTAATAATCAGGTACCTGAAAGTGATGACGTTCAGGTTGTTGAACTCCAAGTTCCGTCTTCAACTGCCGAATCCTCTGCATCACGTTCTCCAAGTCCTGCTTATTCTACACACACTGCTAATAACAATGACATAATAGAATCAGAACCCATTCTCGAAAATTCGAAAGACACTGATTCGACAGATAATGAACCAGAAAATAATGGTAACATTAGATTTCCTATATTGGGCTCGATAAAGAAACAAACTGCACCAGCAGCTTTGCCTGTCGTCACTGACGGAGTGTTCTCCAATTTGTCGGCTAAGCCCGATAAGGAAACTAGTAAAGAAGAGGAGAACCCACCAGTAAGATAGAATTTTTTTCTCTCATATTGTATTGAATGAATGGAATTAACAAATGTTGACTATTTGTCTAGTCATACGAAATTGCTGCGGCCGATGCTACACCTCCGTACTGGGAAACGACTGTCATTGCACCTGGGTTATGCGGGGATGAAATTCTCGTAGAAGGTTTACCTGTGGGGAACTTTTTCAGTTTCATTTGGAATATGCTTGGTAAAGTTGTTAAAATAGCCAGTCGATTCTAATTGCAATTATAATTGAATTATTTAATTGATCTTTTTTTTTTAAAAAAAATAAAAAAATAGTATCAATGAGTTTTCAATTTGTTGGATTCTTATTAACATATCTTTTACATACTAATCATGCTGCTAAGGTAAAAATAAATTTATTGATAAGATAGTCAGCCAACTAAAATTTAACAATTTACTATAAATGTGTTATATGATGGGTCTTTGCCTTGAAAATTACTTTATGGGACTATATAGATTTTATGAATAAAAATTAAAAAAATTTCTTGCATCCAGTAATCCAATTTAAATAAACTTTTTTTTTATTTTGTAAAACTTAGTGAGTTCTACAAAATAAAAAAAAGGTTATTTGAATTGAATTACTAGATGGCTAGAAATTTTAATTTTTATTCATAAAATCTACATAGTCCCGTAAGGCCATCTTCAAGGCAAAGACCCCATATGTATATTAGTGAAAGAATCATATAACAAAAATTTTTTAATAGACCTAAAATTCTGTTATATCCATAGTTTGATTTTGATTTTTAATTGCGACCGTCTAAAAACTCTTTTATTTGTTAATCTAGAATGGCTCCCGAGCTGGTCTGGGCATCACATTGGTACAATATGGTTTTTATCTTCGCGGTAGGTCATTTCAGGATGATGGTGTGTATTATAATTATGAGGATGACTTAAGTGATAAAGAATTAGCACGCAGAGCATGGTTAAGGTTAGTTACATCATTTTTTTTTGAATTTTCTTTTTTGATTATTTGAATCATTAAATTCATTAATATTATAATACATGTATAGCTACATCCTTATGTTCTTGGGTTGGTTTATCGTTATCCGAAGTGTTTCAGATTATATCAGAGTTAAAAGAATCGAAACAATTATGCGTACTACTCCAGAAGAAAGTGTATAATCATAATTCATTTACCAAAACATTTGCAATTCAGGTATAAAAAAAAGGATTCTTAAATTGTAGTTTTTTAGTTTATAACTAGATTCTGTTACCTTATCTTGTTTTCTAGTTTAAACGTAGCCTATCCTTGTTTTTTTTTTTTTTTTACACAATATTCATAATTTTCCATTTTTTTTATAATATATTAAAAACTTTTGGATTTTAATTAGGATCGGTACCTTCCTCCATTTTATTTTTTGTTTTCCTGTACAAAATAACACAAAAATGTTATAAATTGTATTACATAATAAAAGTACAGAGATGATGCCAAAGATATCGACAAGTATTTATGAATTAAACTAATGAATATTGTAAACTAAAAACAGCGAAAATTTATATTTTAGTAAAGGTTATTTTTGTTAAAAGAAATTTCAAATTTTTGAAGCTAATTTTTTAAAAAAAAACCATAAATAATATAAACGAAAACTTTACCAAGTGAATAGGTGAAAGGTGATCAAGTCATTAAAAAGGCTTTTAACAGACCCAGAGTTTGTCTAATAAACATAATGAGAAAATCATAAAATAAAATAAAAATAATGAATAAAATAACAAATAATCTCATTCTTTTTTTTTCTGGCAAATAATAATTATTAAAATTAAATATAAACATCTTGGAAAGATGTTAATATGTAAAAAGGAATATTAAAAAATAACAAAATTTATTATGGGCAACTTGATTTAATTTATTAAGTAAAAATGGTAAACACCTAATTTTATATATAATTATGGTTTTTTATATAAAATTTTAGACTTTATAAACATGCTTGGACTTGGACGTTGGATACGGCAAAAAAGGCCCTGGACATCAAAATGTACAACTAAACCTGCTTGACCATATCAAAATTATCGACTTGACTAAGCTTAGAAGTTTTTTTTTTTTAATCGACTACAATCACTAAATTCAGCTTCTTACCAAATGTTGAATTTCTTTATATCTTTTTGATCTACTGATTTCCATAAGTTTTTCACAACTTGGTAAACTCCTTGCCTCAGCAGCCTTTAGTTTTTCTTCATCCCGAAATAACCACCCTTTGGCATCATTTATCATACGTTGTTTAGTTGTGAACTCTGCATTACAATCTAAGTGTAATCTTCTTATATATGCAACTTCTATATTATCTTCAAATTTACGTAATTGCCGTGGATTTTGTTCAACAGACGAAAATTGAACACGTTCGACAAAATAAGGAACTTGTAGTGAATAAGTAAATCTTTGTTGTGAATAACGACCAGTTTCTTGAAGATAATATGGTGGCATTGGTTCTTGTGCAGGGTAAAACCAACTAGAAGAAAAGGAGAATAAGAAAAGGAGGATAAGAGGTAAAAGTTGAAGAAATGTAAGTAATGGGGAAGTATGCTGTTCTCGAGCGCCTCGTCCATTTGGTGATGCTCTACGTGGCTGAAACCTTCGTGTGCTGAATCCTGGGCCAACGAAAGTCGCTGAATGAAAACCTACGAAAGAATTAAAGGATATAATAATAATCAAATATATATAAAAATATAATTATTATATAATTATAAAAAATTGCATACCATCCCCTCCGAAAAACATATTAAATATTTCCTCTGGCGAAATTTCTTCAGCGTAAACAGCACCGTTTCCAAATCCATTGTTAAAGCTTCTAAAACCAGGAGGGATTCCACTACTTCGTGAATCGGGGTCAGCACCGTGCTCATCAAATATAGAACGCTTTTGCGGATCACTAAGTATTTGAAAAGCCTTGCTAACCACTAAATAATTAAATTAAAAGTAAATAAATAAATAAATAAAAAGATAAATAAAATAATTTCATCATTATAATTAAAGAAATTAACGCGTAATAAGGACAATATTTTATAAGAGTTAAAGGAAAATAGATTTACTAACTTTTGAAAGCCTCATCAGCACCAGGCGCAGCATTTTTATCAGGATGCATTTGTAAAGCCAACTATGTTGCGGAAGTATGAAAGAGTTTTAGCAATTATTGCATTATTAATGAATTATTTTCTGAATGGATTGGGAAATATCCTAAAAATAATTCAAGCGTAATTCTTAAAAAATAAAAAAACTAAATAATACTAATAATTGTATATATATTTTATCTAACCTTTCGATAAGCCTTTTTAACATCTGAATCGGTAGCATCTTTGCTTATTCCCAGTATAGAATAGTAATCGTGGGCTTTACAAGCCCTTATTCGCTTGACAGCCTCAGCTTGTTCAGTGGTATAATCACCTATTTGTCTTCCTTGTTTATGTTCTCTGGAGGTACTCGGCGATGGAGCTTGACGAATGTTATTTTCTCGACCATTTGGAATTTTTTTAGACTCAGTTTGTTTAAGGAAGGTTTGTGCTTCCGTTGTCGGGAATAGGTTTATTGATTTTTGTGCAAATTTAATCGCGCCAGATACATTCCCTGATGCTAAATGATCTCGTGCTATTTTGAGACACCGTATTGCTTCGTCTTTATTACCCTCCATTTTTACTTTATGATTTAACGGTAACCGTTTATTTTAATAAAGATTCAACTATTTTTCACGTGAAGAAGGTTTGAGTAGAAGAGATATTTTGGTTAAACGATTCCTTATAAACAAAGATTACAGATGAATTTGCTTACGTATTTAGGCATTATGCGCTGCCTGTTAATCCGAGCCACGCACGACAAGTACACAAAGCAAACACCCATATTAAGATTTCTGTTTATAATAATGATTATCGTAAACTTGTCACCAAAAAAATGTCAAATCATTTTTTTTATCGTTCTACACTTTCAACGACAGCAATTCGTGGCTTTTTGGCTCGTTCTGATAAAAAATCTAAAGGATCTCCACCACCAGGAATGCCTGGTTCACAAAATACTAATATTACCGATACACGATATCAAATAATTAAAAGAATTCTTTACGAAACACCTAAGCCTGAACTTCCCAAAATGACAGAACAAGATCTCGAAAGACATCAAACCATCGATCGAGCATGGAAATTATTCTTACGTAATCAACAAGAGAAAAGGGAAAATGAATTAGCAGCCAAGTATCGAATGTTAAATGAAGCGAATATTGAACTTGAAAAATTAGGTCCTAGATTATTTAATAGTGCACAAATGGGAAATAAAATTATGTTTCCTAGGCAAATGAAAATTCCTACAGAAACTCCTCCATTAAATGGATGGAATTATGATTATAAACCTCCCTCAAATCCTAAAGAATCTTCATAATGAATATCATAATTATTAAATATCTTTGTTCAATATATATATATATATATTTTATAATTCCTTTTTTTTTAAAAAAAAAAAGTTGCCTTTCGCTATATACGGTTTGTTGATACTGTCTAATTTCCCTTTACGCAATTAGCGTTAGAGAATATGCAATATTAATTAGATAGTATCAACTGTAGTTAGTACAATTAATCTTCATATATAAACATATATATATATATAATATATATTATGGATTTATTTAAATATTTTTAAAATTTGGCCAATTTAAAATAATAATTTTTGAATATATATATATCGATACACAGCCTATTTTCATACGTACCGAATTTTTTTTTTTGCTACGTGCATGAAATAGAACTAGACAATGAGGTCAAGAAAATCTTACCATCAAATTTTTACTTTCACGTGACAGTGGTTAAAAATCTATAAATTCGTTTAAGTTAGGGTTGGCGTTTATAATATGGCTAGGTTTTAGAGAAGTAATAGTAAAATCACTCGAGAAATTTTTTTTGTTAGAGCGCAAAAGGCGGTTTCTTATGCAAGTTTTTGAGAAACAAGCGATTTTTTAAAATAAGCTTTGATCTTCCTGATCGTGTAACGTTACATTAAACCGAGACTCGCTATTGGGTGAAAGTGAAAATTTGAGTATCGCCACCAAAATGACATTAGTAGCTCACCAGGGACACTTAAAATTTGCTAAAGAAAATTTCCGAAAGAAAATTTTTTGAAATTTGGTTAAATTTGATCGAAATTTCTCGAAAATTGGCCAAATTTGATCGAAATTTTTCGAAATTTTTGGAAAATTATAATAAATCACAAAAATAATTAACAATAAAAAAAAGTTTTTTTTATGTTTTCTTTAAACATAATATTGTAATATTGAATTAAAGAAATAATAACATTTTATTAACTTCTTTGATACTTTATTCTTTACTTGTTAGATTACTATAGTCTTTATAAAAAAAAGCAGATTCTTGATTATTTGTCAGAAATCTACAAAATAATTAATAACTTCTAAGTTGTTAAAAATTACTTTATACATCTGTTAAAAAGAGTTTTCAAATACTTTCAATGTTTTTAATAATACATTAATATGTATTTAATATGGACATTAGTTACCTAAAAGTATAAAGTTAGTATTACTAGTTATATTAATTCTCAGATTCATAAAAAGAACACAAATATTATAAAATAGTAACTCAAAATAGTTAGTTTCAAGCTTCAAAGAATTCTTTATCTGTAGTAGAGTCTAAAAAAATAGTAATGAAGAATTTTGTAAAAGTCTTTGTTAAGACAAATTATTTTTAGAAAAAATAAATATGTTATGATTCTTTTTTAAAAAATATTATAAAGAAGAAGGTTCAGTATTACAAACTAATGCACTAAGAAGATTTTATTTATCAGAAATACAGTATATCAACAACTAGTGATTTGAACCAGTTGAGCTATAATTAGTTAACTGACCTAACTTGAATAAATTTTAAATAACTGATTAAGCAAATTCTTAATCAGTTAACTTGATACAACCAGTTAGTAGGATTAATAAAGTATATAAATAACCAAAATAAAGCAAAAATTTTAAAAAGTTTAACAATAACTAAATGAACATAAAAAATGAGCAAGAATAAATCAAAAATTTGAGTGAAGCTTTGAAAATTTCAAAAATAAAAGTAGCATTGTAACTTAACCTATTTAAGATATCTCAAACTATATATTAATTAGTATCACATAGTTTTGGCAATAAGAAAAAAGCAACTAAAACTAACATTATACTAATTATTACATAGTTAAAATGTCTTTGGATAACATTTATAAATAAGAGAAATTATTAATCTCAAATGGTTGTTATCAGTTAACATAAAATAATTCAGTTCAGTTAACTAATTACGGATATTTTTTTTAGTTCAAATCATTATCAATATTAATAAGTTAAGAAATGCTTTTCAAAAAAAGCTTATAGCTATAATTATAAATAAAATAACTAATAGTTAAGTTTAAAATATTGTAAATATTTTGTTTAATTACTATAAAAATACTAAGCTTATAGTAATAAATTACTTAATTTTAGTTAATAACACTATTATAGATTAGCTTATTATTAAAATATTAACTGAATAATTTATATTATTTAATTGTCTATATAACTTGATTTCTAATTTAGCAGTTTATATTAAAAAAAGTTATTATAAGATTCTTAAACCAATTTGGCTACAATTTGTTTATTTACTTTAATTAGCATATATTTTTAATCTTATTAGATATAGATTTTTTTTTAATTTTTTTTTTTGTTAAAGGCTATACTTTGTAGTGATACTTTATTAACTTTTATTGGGTTAGTTATTACAACTATTTTTACAGAGATAAAAGTACAACTAATCACATGTGCAACTTTTGGTTGCCTATTTAAGTAGTTCATTTTAAGGTTTTATACCAAATGTTATACCTATAACCTACTAGGAGATTATCTATTTAAATTCTCTGATTATCTGCCCTATTATGATGTAATTTTAACTAACTTCTCATATATATCTAACTACAGTCAACCCTTCGTAAATGCACCTCTCTTAGAACTATAAGCAAAAATTTTAAACATGTGCATTTAAAGAGGGCGTGCATTTATAGAGGGCATTTTATTAAGTGCTTTATATGCTTAGAACTGAAGATTAGTGTGCATTTAAAGAGGGAATACATAGTATGTGCATTTATAGAGAGTGCATTTATGGAGAGTTGACTGTAGTATACCATCTGAGCAATATGGTACTTACTCTTTTTATACTAGTTCTTAGGCTGTTATACATTTCAAAGTATGTTACCTGTCAGTAAGGTATAGAAGACTCTTTATTGTTAACTATCTATTCACTTTTAGAACACTAACAAGAGTTACCCTTACAAAGTTCATTCAGACCCTGATACAAACTTCATAGCATATCTCTAATACTTTAGTATATCTTTGCTTTAATCTCAGACTTCTAATCCAGATAGCTCAGAAGGATTATAATCTGTCCTTGATATATTAAAACTGGCCCAATATCCTTTTTTTTCAGTTTGAAATCTGGTGATCTGGTTGGTAGTACTTCTTATTCAAGATTCTTGCTTGCCTGATTCCTTCATATTGGTATCCATTTCTAGGTTTAGCTTTTACAATAATATTATCAAAAATCTGTATTACCTCTCTGTTCAGAATTTCTAAATGAGTTCTGGCTTCTTAGTTCTATAGATTTACATAACCTAAGAACTTATTTTAGATTTGCACTGCTTGGTACTGGTTTGCAGTTCTTTATATAACAGATTATACAGATGCTCCAGATCTGCCAGTTATGCTAATATGATCATAGTTACAGATATTCTATTTTAACTAATTGACAGAATACTATTACCATAATATCATCTATATATTATATAGTTGATTATTCAAATTTCACTATCAATAGGTTTTGAACTTACAACCTATCATTTGGGAAATAACAACTTATCTACTTCACTAAGTTGTCATACTCTTTTTTTTTAATTTAATTATATTCTTATCTTATTATATATTAATTTAATTTTTATTAATTAGCCAAGCATAAGTATCAATTTTACAAATAGATTTAGTTAAAACTTTATTGTCAAATATTAAAAAAACATTTGTATATATAAAATTTTTAACAAAAAATAGAGTTCAGAATCTAAAAAATATTCCTCTTGATATAAATACTAGATAAAACTTGAAGTTTTTTTTTTTAATATTTAAAACTGATGTTATCAGTAGCTATCACTTTTATTTGTGTTTTGGTTAATGCATTACATGTAATTTGTACAAAATAAATTTACAACTAGTCATATATATAATTTTTGGTTATCTATTTAAGTAGTCCACCCTAGGGTTCTACACTAGCTGCCATGCCTGTAACCTACTAAAAAGGTACCTATTTAAACACTCTAATCCTTATATTACACCCAGATGAGTAACATCTAGTTCTTGTACAACTAAGTACTATCTAACTCAACATTTAGTTATTTCCTTTTGTATGTTTGTTAAGTTATTACATATTTCAGAGTATGTTACCTAACTGTAAGGTTCCAGAATATTTTCTTGTTAACTATCTACCTACTTTACAGAACATTAATAAGACTTGTCTTTGTAGAGTTCACTTAAACCTTAGTATCTACTTCACAGCATCTCTTTAGTACTTATAGTATACTCTTGCTTTGACTTTAAACTTCCAATCCAAATAGCCCAGTAGGACTATGATCTGTTCTTAATATATCAGGTCAGTCTAATATCCTTTTCTTTCAGTTTGGTTCTAGTGATCTGGTTGATTGTACCCTTATCTAAGATTCTTGCCTATCCAGCTTTTCTATATTGGTATTCATTTCCTAGGTCTAACCTTTACAATAGTACTGTCAAAGATCTGTATTATCTTTTTATTTGAGTTTTTCCAAATAGGTTTTTGTTTCTCAGTTCTATAGATTTATACAACCATAAGGACTTATCTTAGGTTTGCATCACCCAGTATCAGCTTGCATTACTTTGTGTAACCAAGGTTATACAGATGCCCTGTGACCTGCCAGTCATGCTAGTATGATCATAGTTACAAATATCCTATTTAAACTAATTGACAAAATGTCATCATCATAATACTATTTATGTATTATATAAGTAATTATTCAAATTTTTACTATTGGTAGGTTTTGAACTCACAACCTACTACTTGGGAGTTGATAACTTATCTACTTCATTAAGTTGCCATACTTCTAAACTTATAGTTTCAAATAGCATTTTATATAAATAATTATTATTAGCATATTTAAAACTTTTATTTTGATAAAAATATAAATAGTTTAAATAAAACATTTAAAAAATTAATTATATTTTTTAATGATCAGACTAATAATGGTTGTGCACAAATTTATTTTCTCTTTATTAAACTTTATATACAACAATTTATTAATAATTTAAATTTTTTCAATACAAGAATCTTCTTTTGTTTTCTTATATTGAAAAATAAATA